GAAGATGTAAGGTAAGTTATTTGCATAAATAACTCATCCCTACAGTTGCTTCTATGACAATCAGTGATCAGTGCTATTCTTAGAAGGTCTGCCTGCAGGCGGTGCCCCTGATCTATATAAAAGACACACTCAGGCATACTGAGAAAAAAGTGTTATCCACCACCTGGATCAGTGACCTCATATTGGCAAAGTGTGTGTCCATGGCTCCACCATTAGGAAAGTTTTGACTCATCCTCTTCATCAGCTGAGTGAAGCAGCTGTACACCAAGCACTCTGACATACAATCACATGAAACAAAAGCAGAGTTAGTAGTTGGTTCATGTCTCGAACAAAGCCACTTCACCTGGTTGAAACTTTATTTCATTTCTAACACAAATAAAATCAGATATAATATGTGCAAATATTTGTAGTATTTTGTGTGGTGTGGTCTTCTTAACTGTTTATTGCATAAAGTAAGTTGTACCAGAACAAATTTAGCTCTGCTCTGTACAATGACAAATAATCTGATTCTGAAGTTCTCTACTAACAAATACTTTGACTAACTTGGTGTTAGATGGTTTTGCTGCCTTTTTCTCAAAAATGGATATCTATAATTTGCTCTCTGAGCTGCTCAGACAGCCCTCACCTTTGCTTTTTTTTGGCTTCATGTTCAGTGGGGTGTATTTAATTATTTCATCAACCATTCAGTCTGGAGCAAACAGTCACTTTGGAGCAAACAGCCTGTTTGCTCCAAACAGACTGAATGGGTAATGAAATACTTTAAGACACCTGGAGCCTCATATGTCAAAAAACACACAGCTTTTATATTGAACATTGGCATGCAGAATAAATTGGAATACTACAGAAATCTTTGGAAACTTTTAGATTTATCAAGCTATGCACACACTTTTCTGTGCTACTTTGTTGAAAACAATCCAATGAATGTGAAACCAAAGTGTTCCCTTGCCCGGACGTAGGCCACCAGGGCCCCACTCTGGAGCCAGGCCTGGAGGTGGGGCATGGTGGCGAGTGCCTGGTGGCTGGGCCCATGGAGCCCGGTCTGGCACAGTCCAAAGAGGAGATGTGGGTCCCCCTTCCCATGGGCTCACCACCTGTGGGAGGGGCTGTAGGGGTCAGGTACAATGTGTGTTGGGCAGTGGTCCAAGGCGAGGACCTTGGCGGTCCGATCCTCAGCTACAGAAGCTGGCTCTGGGACGTGGAATGTCACCTCTCTGGTGGGGAAGGAGCCTGAGCTGGTGTGTGAGGTTGAGAGGTTCTGACTAGATATAGTTGGACTCACCTCYACACACCGCTCTGGCTCTGGAACCAGTCTCCTCCAGAGGGGTTGGACACTCTTCCACTCTGGAGTTGCCCATGTTGAGAGGTGCCGAGCAGGAGTGGGCATACTTATTGCCCCCCATCTTGGTCCCTGTGCGTTGGCATTCACCCTGGTGAACGAGAGGGTAGCCTCCCTCCGCCTATGGGTGGGGGGACGGGTCCTGACAGTTGTTTGTGCCTATGAGCCTAACAGCAGTTCAGATTACCCACCCTTTCTGGAGTCCTTAGAGGGGGTGCTGGAGAGCGCTCCTAATGGGGACTCCCTCGTTCTGCTGGGGGACTTCAACTCTCATGTGGGTGTAGTGGTCACTCATTGTGTCATTGCCCTTATTGAGTGAGACCTGGCGGGGTGTGGTTCTGAGGAACAGCAGTGCTTTCTTATTGGACTTCTGTGCTCATCATGGATTGTCCATAACAAACACCATGTTCAAACATAAGGGTGTCCATTTGTGCTCTTGGCACCAGGACACCCTAGGCTGCAGTTCACTGATCGACTTTGTTGTRYTTTCATCTGATCTGCGGCTGCATGTTTTGGACACTCGGGTGAAGAGAGGGGCGACTACCTGGTGGTGAGTTGGCTCCGTTGGTGGGAAAGGATGGCGGTCAGACCTGGCAGACCCAAACGTATAGTGAGGGTCTGCTGGGAACATCTGTCAGAGTCTCCTGTCAGACGGAGCTTCAACTCACACCTCCAGGGGAGGTGGGGTTTATTGAGTCTGAGTGGCTACTACTATACAGGTTTTCAGCTCTGTAAGGCTAAAAACGGCTGAACTAATTTTTTTATTAGCATTAGCGGTTAGCTTGAACTTGTGATCTGTTGAATTAACTCACAGCTACCAACCCACCAAATTTCAGCTTTGTATGTCTGCTGAGCAATCTGGATGCCATGTTGAATTACACAAAGCTCTTCTTTGTTCTGTGACGCCAGAGGCTACTCTGCCCAGTAATGGCCTCAGCCAATCAGAGGGCCAGATTGTGATTTTGTTACAGGGCAGAACAGCTGCACAGCACCTGACTTTCAACATGAGCAAACCTCCAAACAGTTTAGTTCAAACAAACATCTGTCGTGTGAAAYCTACTCACACAGCTATTGAAATAATTCATTAACAGTGAGTGGACAGATGAGTTTGGCTTTTACTCACAAAAATTTTCTAATTTGTGCAGTGCTGTATCTCACAGATATGACGATTTAAAAATAGTCATTTTGCTTCTTAACCACATTGTAACAGAAATTTAGCAGAGACAGACATTGGAACAGAAATGGTACTTCCCTGACTTCCTCTGTTCTCTTATTACAAGCCCTAATATCAAGTGTGTCCTCTTACCATCATCCAGGATGACCAACAGTGGAGCAAGCAGGTCACACATGCCCTGAACGTAGCCCATCTCTAAATGTTCCCACACATAGCTGTAGGCAAGAGAAAAACACCAAGATGCACTCAACCAATGTTTTCAAAACTTTCTCAGGTCACCCATATTTTAAAATAGGCAAAACATGATGACCCAGTAAAAATAGGTTTATTTACCATTCTTAAAAAATGCTTTTAAAGAGATCTATTTTGTTTTACATGTTTTACGCATTATGTTGGTTTACTCACTTGTGGCAGACCACCAGGGGGCTCTACTCACACCCAGACAACAGGATGGATGGATTCAAAAAGTTTGTAAAAAAAAACGGAACTTTGGTGCTTAGCAAGTTTGCTGCTGGAATAGAGTAAGGAAGTGTTTGAACCTAGCTCTTGACTTGTCATTATTATGCCTCCACACACTTACAATTATTCTCAAAATGTACCTTAAATTTGATTGCACTTGTTTTTGGAAACAATGGGCCTCATGCAAGAACATGTTCTTATTATTCTTCTCCTAAATTTCTCTTACTTTTGTTCGTACAAAGGGTTCATACGAACATGTCACGTCAGATTCAACAAACTCTTCTATCTTCAGGAAAAGTGTGTAAATGAGCTGCGTAAATTCCACCTGTTCGTATCCAGCTGCTCGTGCACGCGAGTGGAGATTAGCATAATTACCACCTCAAAAACACAATATAAGGCTGTGTTTCCTGCCTCAGATATCAGGAAGTGTTCATTCATGAAAATGACAGCGAAAACTTAAAAGAACTTTACGAGTTCAGAGATTGGCCCAATGGGCCTCATGCAAGAACCGTTCGTACGAACAGATTTGTTCTTAAGTTGTGCGTACGAGTGATTTAGGAGAATTTGTGACATTCACCAATGTTTTCGTATTCTACGATTTTTTTTCAGATACYAACAAAATTCAGGAGTGGTCCAGACCTGTCGTATATTTTACCAGCAGTCAGTCTGCTGTTATCCAGACGGGTTTTCTTCACTAATAACTTTATATTTCATTAGTTTGAAGATATTTTGAGTTGAAAATAAATCACACTCTATAATTATGTTGACAATAGGCTATTCTGCTTGAATTAGAGTTATAATTTTAAATGTAATAATTTAGACTAACAATATAAATTGTCCGTCCGTCCGGCTTATCCTGGATCAGGTCATGGGGGCAGCAGCAGAGACCACCCTCTCCCCAGCGACAACTTCCAGCTCGTCCTGGGGGATTCTGATACGTTCCCAGGCCAGAGGGGATACATAATCCCTCCAGTGAGTCCTGGATTTTCTCCAAAGTGCCAGAAATATTTTGAAAAAAATTTAAAATGATTATTTCAGAATCGCAACTGAGACCATTTAAGACCGGCTGGGGAGGGGGGAGTGGGGTCCGCAGCACTGTGGCTTCTGAATAAATGAAAATTATTTAACACAGTTGTTTATACTTTTAGCAGCTCTTTTTATTCCAGCATTTAAGTGTAAGGGAAAGGAGTTTATTTAGACCCTGGTAATTRTAGTTATTTATTGTGTTTTGTACTTATGCACATAGTTTTATAGGTTCAATTGTCTGTTACAAAACCAAGTTGTTTTTTAATAAAAATTAAAAAAAATGTTTTTATTGAGATAGTAGAGTACAGTGCTTGTACAAATTCCATGCTTCTTTGCAAAAATGGCAATTATGTCACACTTGGTGGATTGTATTTCAAGGTTGTACCCAGGGTGCAGACAGAGGCAAGAAGTTGGAACTAAAATGAAAGTTACGGTTGTAACTACAGTTCTATGAATCCTGGATGACTGCCGCAGGCGGTGTTTAAAGCACTGAATAATCATTCTTGCACATGCTCAGGTCAAGTACCTTATGCCAACAAGGTCATGTGAGATCCCGAGTGACACCGGTTAGTCTATATAGTCACGTGACATGGTAGCTCTGTCCCTTAATCTTCTCGTGAAAACACGATGATTCCGAGGGACCAAGCGCTCTGGCAGTCATCCAGAATTCATAGAACTGTAGTTACAGTCGTAACTTTCATTCTATTTCATCCCTACTGACTGCCAGAGGCGGTATTTAATGTACTGGATGACGATTACTAACAGAGTCCTGAGGAATCACACACACAACAAGACCGTTAAAGAAAAAAAACAGCAGCAATGCCCACCTTACTGAGGCGAGGACTGGTGTTGTGGCAGGATTCTTTCCAATGGGTGGAATAAGGCAGCCAGGTTTATCCTGTAAAACTTAGCAAATATATTTGGAGATGTCCAGGACGCTGCTGCACATATGGCTTCTAGTGTGACCCCACTCATAGCAGTCCATGATGCACTAATACCCCTTGTAGAATGGCACCGTACTCCTGCTGGTGGTTGGTGGCCTTGTAGGTTATACAGTATGTTCATTCCACTATGTCCACAATCCAGAGCACAAGGTGGTGCTTTGAAAGGGCCTGCCCTTTGTGAGGCCCCACGTAGCAGACAAAGAGGCTCTCAGACTGTCGCAGAGAAGCTGTCCAACTGATATATTCTTCCAGCGCTCGAACAGGGCAAGAGGTTCAGCAACACTGCCTGCCTCAAATTGAGCAAGCTGGAGTGGCTGAAGGTGGCTCATAGATGAGGCCACCTTAGGGAGGAACGCTGCATTAGGCCAGAAGGTGACACCCAAGCCAGCATGGTTCCATCGGCAACAAGACTTATGAACAGAAAATGCATGCATCTCACCCACACATTTGGCCGAAGCCATGGCTAAAAGAAAGGCAATTTTTAGACAAGTACTCCAGGCTTGCCTCTGTCAAAGGCTCATATGGAGCTGATAGCAGGGCCTGGAGCACTAAGGAGAGGTCCCACACAGGCACAACAGGACATGTGGGAGGGTACAAGCATCTGGCACCTCTCAGAAACAAGGACACATCCTTGTTACAGTCTATAGATTCTCCACCCACCACTGTATGCCAGCAAGAGATGGCAGTGACATACACCTTCAGGGTGGAGGGAGACCGGCCTCGGGAAAGTAACTCCTGAAGAAAAGAAAGAATAACAGAAACAGGACAGTGCGCAGGGTCCCTGCATCTGTCTTGAAACCAACGGCTAAAAACCTTCCACTTGTGAGTGTACAGCAGTCATGTGGAAGGGGCCCTGGCATTCATCACTGTATGCCTAACCTCCTCGTCATAATCTAAAAAGGTGATGCCGGGCCCTGAAGTGGCCAAACCCAGAGACAAAGGTGACTGGGATTGGGGTGTAGGATCTAACCACCCCAGCTGTGACAGAAGGTCCTTCCTGTGGGGGAGAGGCATTGGTGAGCTGCAACAGAGCCTGTGCGGCAGTGGAAACTAGGTCTTCCTAGGAGGACTCGGTGGTCCTCCTGAAGGACTCTCAGAATTGTTGGCTCCATCAGGGGATGTGGTGGGAAATCATAAAGCAGTACATTGGGCCAGTCGTGAGCCAGTGCATCCTGGCCCAGGGGACTGGCACTGTCAGCCAGAGACAACTAGAGTGGGTAATGAGTTGTCTCCCGGGATGCAAACAAGTCCACAGCTGCTCTGCTGTACCTCCCCCAGATGTTCTCTACCACCTCTGGATGGAGCCTCCACTCCTCAGGTGGTAGGCATCCCAGAGACAGATAATCGGCTGGCCCGTTCTGTTCTCCTGGGATATGAACTGCCCTGAGGCAGGGAAAGGCCGAAGGAAAGAACCCTGAACTCAAAATGTCTCCCTTGAAACATGAAACAGAGAAACTGTCAGTGGTGGGGTGCAATGGGCACATGAAAATAGGCATCTATCAGGTCGATCAAGGTGAACCAGTCGCCTGGAGAAGCGATCTGAAGTACACCCTGGGTGGTCAACATGTGAAAGGAAATGACTTTTAAAACACATTTATACCTCTGAGGTCTAGAACAGGGCAAAGGCCACCGGTCTTTTTTGGGACTAAAAAGTATTTTGAGTAAACATGCCCTGAATCCAGCAGGGGGTTGACAGGCATTATAGCACCTTTGGCCATCAAGTTGTCCATTTCTAGGTTCAGCGCCTAAGCTTTCACCTGGTCGTGAATGACTGTCATTCTGATGTGACCAGGGACAGGAGGGTGGTGGCAGAACTTTATTATATAACCCTGAGTTAGTCTTGACACCACCCACACATCGAGGGAGAGAGCAGCCCAGTGGCTGAGTTGAAACAGGGTAAAGTGTCCCATCGCCTGTGCAGAGGGGTCATTTACTAGACCCACGGCCTTTAGGAGGGTCAGACTGCCTCTGCTGGGGGGGGGGGGGGGATGAGGGCCAAACACAGCTGTAAAAATTTAACCAGAAGCAAGCACGAAAATGGCTGCAATGACATTAAATAAAGGTGAGCCAAACATGGCTGTAAACCTGTAAGCAAAGCCCGACACAAACACAGTTAGCAAGGTAGACCGCATGTGGCTTCATGGGAAAAAAATAATACAAACTTTCCCACTCATGCTAATGTGGAGTCCGAACGTCGGGTCCGGAGTAAATAAAGAAGGCTGTGCGACTAGTGAGTGTGGTACCGCCGGATTAAGAGGTAAATAAACAACAATTTACCAGTTGGCGAACAGTTGTACATGAAGTGTAGATAAGCTTGTGCAGCCTCTGAAGGGCGAGAAAAATCACGCAACTCTGAACTTAGTCACGAGGCTAGGCCTGTCACGATAGTTAATAAATCAATTAATCATATGATAAATTATTTTGAGGTCGATAAAAAATTGAGGACGATAATTTTCATTTGCCTGCTTGTTCGTCACACTCTGTGCTCTGTCCTGATGCATCTCAGTAATCCAGGTAAAAAATCAAAAGGAAAAAAAAATTGTATAGGTCTTCTGGACGGGTTCTTCTCTAATGAAACGTTTC